ATATTTCTTCTTTTCTTTTATTTTATTTTCCTTTAAATAAAAGATCTTCTACTCGACCTTCATCACTTTAAAATTTGTTATAGCTTGATAGTTTTTAGTAAATTTTATTACAATATTATTTTTTACAAAGTCACTGCTTACCAAAATGATCAGTACAATAACTTTGTAGACCAACTTGCATGCAATCATTACAATCTGCTATATCTTATCTTCATGTTTTATAATATCTACAATTCTATATATATTTTAAATTTTGAAAACTTTCTTTTAGAACTATTTACTTATTATAGTATCTGTATAATATGTTATATATATATTTATGTATTATGAATCACATAAAAACATTTTTAAAAATAACACAAAATTCTTAACCAAATTAATTGGCAAATCACTTGACTATATATTAACAACAACCAAAAAATCTCAAATTTTTTATATAGTTTTTAGTCTTCTATTCTTAAATCTTTTAGAATTAAAATTTTACTAGATGATCTTCCTACTCTGCATATTCTAGACAAGTAAAATCACTCACATTTACCTATTTGTCATCAATGTTATCAAATCAGTTTTCACCTTTACTGGACAACTTACCTATCTAATTAATTGCTATACAACCTTATAGACATTTTATTACAATATACTTTATATACTAAAATACTTGACATTATTTCAAATACTATAATTAATTTATATAATCAAATTAAATTGTTAAGTAATATGACTATTTACAGTATATCAGACTTATCTTCAGTTTTCTCAACTCTAATTGGCCTAATACCAAATGAATTTATTGACATTATTGCAAGTTTGTTATCTAAAAAAATAGTTATAATACTTGTTATCAAGTTCTTACTTTATCTTAATCAACAAATATATTATAAAATCTGGATTCCATACTGCATCTTAAGATCTACAACTCAACTTCCTAAATATAATACACTTCCAAATACTGCCTTACTTCCATCATATTCTTTTCTACTCAATTCTATTAATTCAAAAATAAACTTCTAATATATCCAATAGATTAAATATCAAACTAATCTTCTATACATAATTACTAACAATCAAATCTAGGTGAGCCTTGATCACTCTGATTGGTTTAGGTTGCAGATAAATTAGTCTGAGCTTCTATTCTTTCTATAATATTTTAAAAACAGAATTGTACTCTATATAAAATCTTAATTAAATATTCAATAAAGATAGAGGCATGGCCTCACCATTAATATTAAAAAAAAAAAAAGTTATAATTTGTATTAAATTTTATTTTATAATGTATTTCTTTTATAATTGTATATTTGAAATAATTTTTTTTTTTTGCAATTCAAATTATTTGACGTGACTAGACTGTTCGCACCATAATTCCTTAATTTTCACAGTTCGAATTTCGAAGCTATTCTCATGAATAAATAGTCAGTGAAAGCTTAAGATCGAAGTTTTCTTTTGACTATTCAATCATGAGAACAGCTTCGAAATTCATTGAGATATGAGTAGTGAATTTTAAGGCATCAATTTTTTTAAAAATGTCAATCTGCTTGATTTCTATTGACGGCAGCCCATATATCAATTTGTCAGAGAAATTTTCGATAATTGCATTTAGTACCCGTGGCGATGCTAGGGAAGATCACGTTAAACAAACCCTGCTTTGTAATACCTTCTGTTTTTATACCATATATACTGTATCGGTACGTATGCATAACGATAACATGACAGATAACGATAAGATGTAAGTGGCGTACATCTACATACTAAGAAATCAAAACCATGTCAGTTATATTGATTATATTGATCATTTTACTATGATCAGATTTTTATCAGCAAAATAAATTCTAAAATTTTTACACAAAAATTGTACTTATTTATCTAATTTCTTTCGATTGAATATGTTGGATCTTTTGCGAAATTCTAATCAAATTTTGACTTGCATATTTAAGAGTTTTTCATTCAAATTAATGAAATTTAGAGCATTCTGCAAGATGAATACCTCAAACTCACATATTAATAAAGAATTTTTTAAACATATAATTTTATTCTTAACCATTTTATAAACAATTTGTGAAACTTTCAAGGTAATTTTATGTCTCAATAATGAGTTGAAACATTTAGAATATATCGCTTAATAATGTAATAGAACATTTCTAAAGGTTAGTGCCTGATCGATTTTTATCCGTGTAACGTGAAAATCTGTAATATATCAAAATTCTATAGTTACCACCCCAATACGTACATACCCCACCCAATCGCTAAAATAATTGCCAAAAACTTTGAGCAAAAGTATCTCAACAAGGACTTGGGCAATTAATGTTTAAGGATATTTTCAAACTTTACAGATCTATCTTAAAAGTCCCCAAACATTGGCATTTACCGTGATATCTTAGCGGGATGATTATTAGCAGTCGCTTAAGTTTTCTTTGAGCAAACTTTAGATCCGATCAAATTCGATCCTACAGATCTGTCAAATTCGAAATTAGTCACGTATTTTTTGTTAATATACCTTCTGGAAAACGAAATGTGTTGGTGTGTTGAACGAGTACCGAGCACCCCTGTAAAATTTACAACATCTAGATCTTTAGATCAAAAATGATCACGATAAAAAATATTTCCGATCGACTCCGACTCTGTACAATATATAATAGCCTTTTAAATTTTATTATGCGGAGTACGTCTTCTGCTTTCCAAGTTTTCAAGTTAATGCAATGTGGAGATACACGATGTTTCTTTGTAATTCAAGCGTTTGGGTGAGCTAGCCCTTCAAGACACGTGCTTACCAGTTAGTCGACTTTGCTTTATATATAAACTTCTACACTGTGTGGCTAGGGTCCGGTAACTAGCGATGGTTTAGATCTCACTCCATGCGCCCGAGAAGTGTAAGTTTCGTTAAAGCCTCTGTTTTTCTTTTTACTTCGTTATCGTTGAAAATTTACATATCATGGGTTGTTTAGCATTCTGAATGCTGCACTACCTCTATGTGCTGTTTTTTTTTCTATAATATATCTAGTTCTTCGTACGTGTCGTAGACAATCAAGTATCTATACTCCTTTGGTAAACGTAATACCACGGAATGACCGCCAACAGGGATATGTACCAGTCTCGAAATATGATATCAGTCAGCTAGTAATATCCTTCATTCAGTTGGGATTTGTTGGTTTCCTCTTTGGTTGGGAGGCGGAAAAAGACCATTCTAATGGCATATATATGGTAGTTGGCGCAATTGGCCAATTTGCCTCTTGGGTAAATACTTTATGAGAATCTTTGAATTAGTAATGTTTTTTTTACTTTCTTATTTTCAATCAATTATTTCCAATATGCGCAGATTTATATCGTTATACTGTTAGCATGTCATTTCATGACGCGAAAGAATCAAACCCAATATGCATTTATTAGGCAACTATTGACTTTATACACGCTTTTCTTTATTACTGCGTGTCTGAACCTTCGCTCTATGCTTATAAATAAAGGAACAAATAATCCGAAAGGATATGAGCGTGTGTTTGCAATATGGAACTTTTGTGCTTGTGGTATATTATTTGCATGTTCCCTTAAGAGACCACGAAATCCCGAATTGAGGTACGGAAGAAACCGCCGAGTGATATCTCATGATACAGTTGCGTCTATATGGTCTTTCCTCACTTTCGGGTGGATGTCATCGATGATTAAGTTGGGTAACAGGCGTAATCTCACAGAAGAGGATTTATGGGAATTACCATATAGGTGTCAAGCTGCTCATTGCTACTATGAATTAGATCGGTGAGTAAATTTTTTGGTTTTTCGCATTCGAAAACTATTTATTGACAATTTACGCAATTAATATTTCTAATAGAATAATGAGTACAAATCTTCTATCGCGGTTACTTCGTGTCAACACCAACAATCTTATTCTTTTCCTTTTTATTGCAACCTTTCGGTCTATTTTCGCCTTCGCTACTCCCTTTTTTCTCTATAGACTACTAGAGTACATATCTAACAATAAAAATAATGAATATACTGAAGAACCTTATCTTTATGTATTTGGAATTTTATGTTCTGAACTTGCTAGAATCATTTTCTTAAATCAGTTGAACTATCAAGTAGTGTGGCTAGGCATCCGTGTGGAACAAATGCTGAGTGTTTTGGTGTACTCGAAACAATTACATATAAAGACTTCGTCCAGATCTAATAATAGTAGGCAAAATAATATTCTAACAACAGATGTTGGTGATATTGCTGGCTTCTTTTCCAATCTTCCTTTCATTGTGACAATTCCATTGGAAATTATTGTAGCAATAGTATATTTATATTACTTATTGGGAGTTTCTAGCATTATTGGTGTGGCAATTATGGTATTGTGTCTTTTGAGCAATAAAAGGTTCGGAAAACGCGTCTCTCGATTACAAAAACGGGTCAAAAAGGCAAGAGATGAAAGAGTCAGTGATATTTTTGAAGTAAGTAAATTTCGTGTCATGTTTATTTGTATTCATAATTTTATGTGTCTATATTACTCATTTGCTTTTCAAACATTAGTTACTTCATATAGTCCGTACAATAAAAATGTATGGTTGGGAAAAAAGTTTTCATGAAAGATTAATGTGTAAATACATTTCTATTTTATTGTTTATTTACTATTAAGTTTTTAATAAATTAACAACTATTTCATTTCTTATGCCACCAGACTCTCGTCAAATTGAATTAAATCACCTTCGTCGTTTATTTTGGCGCACTACGTTTCTCACTTTACTAGTCCACCTTACTCCATTCCTTGTTACATTGTTTGCCTTTGGCTTTTATACATCTGCATTTAATCAACATCTTACTGCTGCTAAAGCTTTCACAAGTATTATATTGTTTAACACTTTAAAACAACCATTACAAAATTTCCCAAATTTGGTAGTCGAACTCGTGGGACTTAGTGTATCAGTAAGACGTCTAGAAAGGTTTTTAAATGAGGTTGATATTCAAAAAGACACTTCAACTTCTAGTTCATACACCAAATCCATAGTTGGTTTTAGTGGTGTTGATATTTCTTGGAGTTATGATATGAATATCCAGGATCCCAATGATTTCTCATTGAGGGATGTGAATGTAGATTTTCCACTTGGACAATTAAGTATTGTTTGTATGTATGAACACTTCACGATTTTCATATAGAACTTTTGCTTTATTAATTATTTGATATTTGATAATAACAATAATTATATTAACAAGGTGGCCAAAAATCTTCTGGAAAAACACTTCTTTTTCTCTCGCTTCTTCGTGAAACGTTTCTATTCCGTGGTGTTATTAATTTTCCCTCAAATTCAGTCGCTTATGTTCCGCAACAAGCATGGTTAGAAAATACAACTATTCGAGATAATATATTATTTGGTTCCGCTTTTGTAGAAGAACATTATTGGAATATCGTTGACGCTTGTTGTTTAATTAAGGATTTTGAAAATATGGATGAAGCAGATTTTACTAAGGTATGATTCTTTGTTCATATATAAAAGTATTGTTTATTATAACTACTAACTTTGCGTGTTTAAAGTGTGACGAAAAAGATTTAATCTTAAAAGATGAACAAAAGGCTCGTATAGCACTCGCGAGAGCATTATATAGTCCCGCACAAATATTGCTTTTGGATGATTTTTTGTCAACTATGGATCCATCAACAGGTTTTTATGCATATTTATATTGCCATTATCATCAATGACATATTATACATTCAAATTGTTGACATTAATCCATTTTATTTAAGCACATCAAATTATTGAAAAATGTTTAAAAGGTCCAATTGTTAATGGACGGACTGTGATAATTGCAACAAACTATATTCGTTCTCTTTTAGACGTTGCTGGCTATATTGCAATACTTGGTAATAGAACTGTTTTAGCAAAGGGCACCCCCGAAGAAGTACGTGAATCAGGTCTTTTAGATGATGAAATTCTTGGAAATGACGTAGATATAGAGAAAAGTCAAGATAAAAAATTTCGGACCTCTATAAATAAAAATTTTGAAAAATATATCACTGATAAGAAAATTTGGGCAGCAGAAGAAGGTTTATACTTTTCATTGTCATTAATAAGATTTTAAATTTATATTATTTATATGCAAAAGAGATTTATTCTTTTCATAAATTATGTAGTACAACCTCAAGGAAAGATCCCATTCAAAGTTTATCTTTACTACTTTAAATCTAGTGGAGGCCTGTTAATGTGGTTTATATTAATTTTTTTGTTCATAACCATTCGAGTTTTAACTGTGGGTGAGACTTATTGGTTAAATATATGGTCAGAAGCTCCTAATAAAAATAAAAAAACATCATCCGAACTATTAGACTATGCTACTTCAGTAAACCCTTTATTTTATATAGGCATATATGCTATTGTTGCCCTAAGTTCTACCATTTTTACATTTGTTCGCATGGTTTGGCAACTTTTTGTTTCTCTTAAAGGTTCAAAGGCCTTGTTTTCAGAATTGCTTAATGTTATTTTAAGGGCACCCTTGAACTTTTTTGATACCGCGTCTCTTGGGACGATTATGAATAGATTTTCTAAAGACCTGGGTATAATAGACCAGAGCCTTATGACGGTTGTTTCGAGTTTCATTGGAAATATTGTCGGCGTAATAAGCGTACTTGCTGTGGTTACCGCCGTAACATATGAGTTTTTATTTGTCTCCCTTGTTGTTGGTAGGTTAAAACATGTTCAATAAGTTGTACTATGCTACATAGAATTAGCTATATTTATGTTACATATGCTTACTTCTCGCCTTCCTTACGCAGTCGTGTCATATATTATCATTGGAAGTATGTATATTCACGCTTCAAGGGAGTTAAAACGCCTGCAATCCATAACCCGCTCACCTGTTGTCTCTTGGTTTAGTGAGACAGTGGTGTAAGTTATTCTTGATTTATTTTTATAATATTAAAAAAAATAATAATTATTCCTAAATTTTGCATCTTTAATATTAGGGGTATTGCAACGATTCGAGCATTTAACGTTGAACAGCGATTTATTAAAACTTTCATTGATCGGTAAATTATATATTGGACTTTTCAAGTCATTAATTGCCCATTAACATTACTTGCTTATATTCAACATATATGTTATAGACTGAATACATCAAATCGAACAACATATCTTCTTCATATGTCTAACCGATGGATGTCTGTTCGCTTGGGTTGCATAGGAGCTATTGCATCATATTTTTCGGGTATTTTTATTCTATGGAATTCTGAACGTATGAGTGGTGGCTTGGCAGGTTTTTGTCTAAGTTATGCTCTTGGATTTGTTCAGATTGTGTTTGTAAGTAATTTATAAAGTAAGTGTTTATAAAATAGCAAATATATTTAAGTTTATTTATTCATAGATGCTGGTTAAGGATTATTCATCCATGGAAAACGGCCTAAATAGGTGAATAACTATTAACAAATTTTTTTATTAGTGTGCGATATGCGATGTGAATTAAAAAAAACCTTTCTACATATTTGTTCACTCTAGTGTGGAACGTGTTAAGGAATATATTGATATGCCACAAGAACCTTTATCAATTGCAAGCGCACGTCCTCCAGCTGCAGTAAGATATTGACATGTTTATATATATATATAGATAAATATTTATATATTTTTAGGATGGAAATACATAATTTCAAATTATTTACATTATTTAAACACAGTGGCCGACCAGCGGTAAAATTGAGGTGTCTAATCTAACAGTTAACCATGCATCACGAGGTGAACCTGTACTCCAGAATATTTCATTTTATATTCTGGATAAAGAAAAAATTGGTATTGTTGGAAGGTGAAAATGCATACGTACTTAAAGTCAAATTCAGTCATTTTTCCAACTTATTAACACATGATTTTAATTAAACAATTTTTGTTGACAAATTATAGAGCAGGAGCTGGTAAATCTACTTTGGCGAATTCATTCTTAAGGCTAGTGGAAGCTACTGAAGGCCGGATTGTGATTGATGGAATTAATATTGCAGATATTAGTTTTGAAGATCTTAGGTCAAGATTGGCTATCATATCTCAAGGTTTGTTTGATATTTAAGATTTTATTATATTTAGCTTATTAATTATTAATTTAATTATTAATTTAATTCATTAATTTATTGTTTTATCAGAACCTATACTTTTTGAAGGGACTATTCGGTCAAATTTGGACATTCAGTTAGAATATGATGACCATGACTTATGGGAATCATTAAGGAGAGCTCGTCTTGTTCATATGGAGATAGAAGAAAATTTACCAAACAGACAATCCTTAATAATTGGGCCGATAACAAGCTTAGACGATCCAGTTAATGAAGGCGGTAGCAATTTCTCCCGAGGCCAAAGGCAATTATTATGTTTTGCGAGGGCGTTATTAAGACAACCTAAAGTATGGATAACAGTTTCATTATTTATGTTGTAACTTATCTATAAAATTGGTTGTTCAATATAATGTATTGGTTTAATTTCTTCTAGATAATTATTATGGATGAAGGTACTATTTGTCGATTATGATATTTTAGCGAACATTTCTAACATTTCTAACATTTTATTGTTTATAGTAACTGATAATCTTGACACAGAGACAGAAAAAAAAATACAAGAAATTATTCATGATGAGTTTCAACATTCCACAGTTTTGAAAATTTCACACCAATTTAAAAATATTATAGATTCGGATCGAATTCTTGTTCTTGGTGCGTATTTATCATTGTTAGAGCTATTCACACATTATATGATGCATAAATATCCTAATTTATTATTACCTTAGACAAAGGAGAAATTGTCGAATTTGATACGCCGCGTAATCTTTTGATGAACCCCCAAAGTTTATTTAGTCAGTTATGTGAACAAGATGGTGAATTAGAATCTTTGCTGAAAACCATGAAATTAAATTATTCAGAAGACGAAGACGAGGAGGAATATTCTGAAGAACACTATGACGATGATACAGATGGAATGGGAATCGAAATTGAAGAGCAGGACGATGAGCAAACAGAACGTGAGTCAGAACACGAGGTGGATGAAGAACGAGAAGAAAATGATCCACTGGAGATACTCGATGAGCAACATCACAGAGATGACTATGAAGTTCAGGAAGAGAACTCTGAATAGATACACTAACTTATTTTTAATATTAGGATTAGGATTGTATTTTTAAGAGGGATGGTTGTATTTTTTTATCTTGTAAAAAAAAAAGATTAAATATTTACACAATGATTATTTAATAAAGCAATTTTTATCATAGTTTAGTTTACTAGTGTAATATTCTTGTTCTATTGTAATCTTTATATTTGCGTATCAATGGCATTTACGATTGGCAATTATTGTAGAAATGGTAACCGGCTAATCGGTCACTGATCGATCATACACATGATCAATACTTTGATCGGTCATAATCGTAATGTTTTAATAGATCATGACAGATGATGTTTGATCACGATATTTTAATGACTTAGTCGAATCAGTCACGATCACAAAATAAATGGCCGATCAAAATTTCGAATCGCCAGTTTTATTTTCATTTTTATTTAAATTCAACTAGTGCCACAAGATCTTTGCTTTTAACCCATCTGATCTATTTCTCTTGATCTTAAAAAGATAAGGGATAACTATTGGGCCAATCTTATTCAATTATATATTGAAATGAGATGGTCTTTTCTTTATATTCGTATATCTGGCCTCAACTTCTTTGTCTTATTTTAATTTTATATTTCGGCCTTGATATTAGCATTCTCAGCTTTAACTTTGATATTCTGAGCTCAACCTCAGTAATATCAGCTACAAGCTTGGAATTCTGTTCTTCCAATAACTTGATTTAGATTGTATATAGCTGCTCGATACGATAGTATCGAGGCAGCTTTTGTCTCGAATCAGTCCGTAACTAGGCATGTGACATGCCCTATTACAGTCACATGAGTGACGTGGCTTAGTATATTGATCGTATTAGTAATGAATTAGACTAGGTTAACTATGTGGTAATAATTACGATTAGTATTGATCAGTGCAATTATGAGGTAATTCTTGAGATTAGCAAATTAGAGTAGTAATATTGACGTATTTGAGTTTATTTGATTTTAGTATTTAAGCGATTGTAATGAAGAGAGTTAAAGATAACTCTATTTCTTTTGCGAACCCGACTTTTAGTCTGGTTTTGTCGAGCAAGAATCGTAGAATCATAGAAAATGAATGTTAATAAAGAAAATTCTAATAAAGAAAATTCTAATAAAGAAAAACAGGTGCAAAATGTTGAAGATAAAATTCTTGATAAGCGTGCGTCCTCGTTTAGTGATTGTGAGGTAGTGCAAAAAAGTGGGCAGGCTAATTTTGAAGCCAATTTTGGCCGTATGTCGGTTGATGTATTAAGGTTTCTGTGTCACGAGTTGGGGATTGCAGAAGCAGGCTCAAAACAGGATTTGGTAAATCGGTTAGTTAGTGAGAGTAAGAAAAGGGAGGTCGTTAGTGAGGCGAATGTAGACAAAGGAAAGGTGTTGTTTAGTGGTGACGGGGTTACTGCGTCTATGTTTGGCAGTGCTGGTTCGTCGTCTTTTGAGCCTGTGGTTGGTTCAGCTAGTAGTCCACCTGACGTTAGGTCTGATGAAAGGAGGTTTGTGCCAAATACGTTGGGTAGTGATCAGCCACAGGGTTTCTCAATAGGGTTCTAGGGTTGTACGAGGTGAATGAGAATGTTTGGAAGAGACGGGAACTTTCGAAAGCCAGAAATCAATGGGAGTATAATGAATGGTGTAAAGCTGGTTTGCTTTTGGACAAGACTTTGCTGTTAGGTGATATAGAGTTTGTTTAATTGGCAAAACAGGTGGTGCTTGAGAAAGTGTATGTAGTTATGATTGCTGATGAGGATGGTTGGAATGTGGTGGCAAAGATGGTTTCTGGTGACTATGATCCTATGACTGAGTTGTTTGGTGATAGACAAGAAAAAGTTAGGTTGGCTGCTTAACATTTTTTATTTACAAAAAGCAAGAGACTTAAAGTTGTGCATGATTAGAGTTTCATCAGAAGTGAGTCTCAGAATAAGCAACAAGTGCATATTTCATTTGTTTAGGGTATACAACCTGTCTTGTCTACTTTTGTTTAGCCTCAACTGTTTGTATAATTATTGTGGCAACAACTTTTTCAGACAATGAGTTTTAGTCTTATTGGTTTGGAAGGTTAGTAAAATGGATCTGGTTTTTAGGGCTGGTTCAATCAGAACTTTTTGAAACAACAGTTAGTTTAGGATAGTTTGTCTTATAATGTGATGCATAGTTTACACTTACAACTTAGTTATGGTAGAGTGCAGTTATTGGCTAGTAACTTAAATAGTAAAGTTGATTTTAAAGAGATAATATGTTTTTTGTATGAAGGTAAAAGGCATTATGCAAATAAATGTGGTTCAAAGAAGCATTTAAGCATGCCTTTTTAGGAGAAGAGTATAAAACCAAAAAGAAGTTGATTATGTTTGGGATGTGATAACACAAAAGAGTATCATTTAGAAGATGAATGAGTGTTGAGTAGTTATAAGAAGATTATACTTAGTTTTAGCAATTTAGTATTAAAGGGAAGTTATAAAACCAGTCCTGATTGTTATAGATTGGTTAGAAAAATAAATTTTGCTGTTTTTGAGAGGAATTATGCAGTTGATAAAACAATAAGTGTCAAAATTCAGAAAGTTTATAATTGAGAAAAATATATGGATAGAGCAGGAGTTGAAGTGTTTAAGCAAAATAGGGTTATAGGATTTGTAGGCAAAGATGTTTAGAGATCGGAGTTCTTGCTAAAAGTAAGTTTCATCTTTTTTGTTTTGAAGCAAAAGAAAAAGAAGTTCAGATTGGTAATAGACCTTAAAAGATTAAATGTAATTCTTTCAAAAAAGTTCTTCAAGTTTGAAGGCATTGGGTTACTGTTGTGCATAGTAGGAAAAGCTTGGTGGGTTATAACCTTCAAATTAAAAGAAGGTTATTATCATGTATTGATGAATGATGTAGTGCAAAAATTCCTTAGTTTGTAGTAAACAAAAAATAGTATTTCTACAAAGTTTTTTTTTTTGGTCTGAGTTAGTTATCCTGTATATTTGCAAAAATAATGAAAGCAATGATGAGAAGCTAGAAAGCTTGAGGAATTTTTTATAAAAACTATCTGAATGATGTCTAGGTAGCATATCTGTTGAAGGAGATACTTTTGGAACAACAGAAGCAAGTTATAAAGGCAGACTTAAGAAGTTATGATTGAATTTGTATGAAAGAGAAGAGTGATTGGAAACTGATTCAAAAATCTAAGTTTTGTGACCTTTTTATCGATTTAGTTGAAAGGGTAATTATAGTTTCAGAGAAGAAAAACATTGTTGTTATAAGTTGGTTAGAAAGTATACTAAAAAAATCGGGTATTTCAATAAGAGAACTGGCATTAATTGTGAGAAAAATTCAGAGTTTATCAAAAGCATTCATGTTAGCAAAGATCAAAACTTTGAAATTTTACAAGTTAATAGATGTGAAAAATTGTCTATAAAATGAATAGGACAAAATGATAAGGTTGTCCTCACAAGCAGTAGAGGATATGAAGTGGTTAGTAGAGAACTTGAAAGACTAGAATAGTCACTTAGCTTGAAAGCCATCCAAAGTAAAAGTAGTTTATATGAATGCTTTATTGACAGAATAGAGTAGGATGTTTGATGAACAAATAGCAAGAAGATGTTGGCCTTATAGGCTTTCAGTGAACTTGATAGTCCAAATAGAATCAATTGTTATTATGTGGGTTTTTCAAATTTTTGGAGATCTTCTAACAGGATTATTTGTAATACTAATAATAAACAACAAAATAGTGTTGAAAAAAGTATTAGGAGAAGGTCAGTTGGTTTGGCAAATAAATAACATTTATGAAATTTAAAGTTTATGTTTGGAGAAGGATATAAAGATTTTTCAGACTTTGTGGATTTCTAGTAAGAGAAATTTGGCCAATATGTTCTCCAGAATAATGGACTTAAAGGATTGGACTATCAAGTCAGAAATAGTAAGGCAGTTACAGATTTATTGGAGAAACTTTGAAGTAGACAGATTTGCAGACCATCAGAATGTGAAGTTGATAAGGTTCAACAGTCTGCACTTCTGTTTAAAGTTGGAAGCAATTAACTATTTTACTTAGGAATAGAAAGGTGTGATAAACTTTTTGTGCCTACTATTTGTATTGATTCATTGAACATTAGTGTATGCAAGAGGATACAAAGCTTATATAGTAATTATCATTCTAGTCTGGATAGTAGCACCATAGTGGCTAATGCTGATAAACATTTAGAAAGAAGAAATGGATCTGCCACCATTAGCAGAAATTATCTTGCCAGGCTTGTTGGGTTATCTGGAACTATGTAACAACCAAAATTAGTATCTAAAAATGATTCGAATAAACTGATCCACAAGTTTTTAGACCAGACAGAATTTTTAGTTAAAATGCAATTAGTGAATTATATAAAAGAAGATTAGAAAGAGTATGGTTGGTCTTTGAAAATTTTTTTAAGAAGATGTATTGTGTTCCTTGCCCAGCCTCTTATATGATGATAATGACTTTCATAACATGGTTGAAAATGATGGGTCAAAGTGTAAAGATAGTTGGTTCCTTAATAGCTATTTCTAGATTGTATAGATTGAGAGGTTTGCCAGACCCAACTAAAAACACTGCAGTGCAGTGTTTGGTTAATAGTATTAAAAAATAGGTGGCACAAGATGCAGAAGCAGATTGGCCTAAGGATTTGCTACTCATAGAAGCTATAAAGCATTATTTGCTCTTTCCTTTAGAAGGAGTTTCTTATGAATACTGGATTAGAGACCTTGCATTAGTAGCTTTGGGGTTAAGAATGATGAGGTGTCTAGATAAACTTTGTAGCTTAAAAATAAAAGACCTTAAGTAGGTCGATGGTTTGTTATAGGTTTGCATTAATAAGTCTAAGATGAACCAGCTTGCAAGAAAAAAGTTCATACCTGTGAAAAGGTCGAACAGCAAATTCTGGCCAGTAAGATTAATAGAAAAGTACATTAAAATTAGACCAGAATCAAATAAGGATGCTCTTCTCTTTTTGTTAAAATCAGGTCATGGATTGTCTGTATTAACAATTTTGGCTATAGTAAAGTGTTTTGCAGCTCATATTAAAATTAAAGAAAGGTTTATAGCTCATAGTTTGAGGATTGGTAGTGCTATAGTAGCAATGAAAGAGAGCCTATCCTTAGAGCAAATTTAGACTATTGGTAGATGGATCTCTGATGCTATTAGATTATACATTAGGGCAGTGGGTATAGCGAATTTGGGAACATCTAGTATTATGGATTTTTAACTTGGTGTTTCAGTGCAGTTTTTAAGATGATAATTCTAAAAAGAAAAGAAAGAGAGTAGAAAAAAGAAGGTTAAGTAAGGACTGAGTTTTTTGATTCATAAAAAAAAAAATAATAATAGTTAATTAAAAACAGAAGTGCAGAGTTAAGAAATAATGCTTTGCAAGTATCTGTATGTTTCTAGTCATTATTTAACAAGCATATGAGAGACAAAACAATATAGCTGCTCGATACAATAGTATTGAGTCAGCTTTTGTCTTGAATCAGCCTGTAACTAAGCATGTAACATGCCCTATTACAGTCATGTAAGTGATGTGACTTAGTATATTGATTGTATTAATAATAAATTAGACTAGGTTAAGAGTAGAGTATATGATTTTCAAATTATATATAAAACTTTTGGTAAATTTTTATTTAATTAAAAATAGAAAAATATTTTC